CCCGCACGCGGGAGGGTGCCCAATTGGCCAGTGCTATGGGGGGGTGCATACGAATACCCTATATCTTATTATGCCCATGGGGCCGCCGCCATTCTTAACAGTGCCTATGTTACTGCATCTATAGCTCTGCAATAAAAGTATTACCGCTCCTGAATGCGTGTACTTCGTTGTTGGCTGTGGGTTCTGACAATAACACGTATGCCATTTTGATCCATTCTCATTTTAGGTATGTGATTTTAGGTTTTACTTCTTTATGTATTTTATCATACTATTTTACTCTTTTACTGATCCTTAGAGTCTACCTTCTGAAGCAGCCATTGCCTCCAGGGGAACTGATCTCTGTCGTCTGCAGACCACTTGTAATTGTGGGAGATCTCCAGCCACCATCTGGAGATTGGCAACCCTAGTCACCACCAACGTTCCCTCTAAGCTGTGGAGTCTTGTGAGCAAGAATCCTACTTTGTGAGCTACTACTGGCATTAGAGTTCTGAGCGAGCGATTTGGGTACTGCATTAATTCGTTTGCTCTGGAGCCGTCCTTCCTGAGCTAAGACAAAAAATGTGTGAGCCAGAGGCTCAAAAGCTGTGAGCTAGCTCACACTAACTCAGCTTAGAGGGAACACTGGTCACAACCAACGTTCCCTCTAATCTGTAGAGTCTTGTGAGCAAAAATTCTACTTTTTGAGCTACTGGCATTAGAGTTGTGAGCGAGCGATTTGGCTACTGCATCAATTCGTTTGCTCTGGAGCCGTCCTTCCTGAGCTAAGACAAAAAATGTGTGAGCCAGAGGCTCAAAAGCTGTGAGCTAGCTCACACTAACTCAGCTTAGAGGGAACACTGGTCACAACCAACGTTCCCTCTAATCTGTAGAGTCTTGTGAGCAAAAATTCTACTTTTTGAGCTACTGGCATTAGAGTTGTGAGCGAGCGATTTGGCTACTGCATCAATTCGTTTGCTCTGGAGCCGTCCTTCCTGAGCTAAGACAAAAAATGTGTGAGCCAGAGGCTCAAAAGCTGTGAGCTAGCTCACACTAACTCAGCTTAGAGGGAACACTGGTCACAACCAACGTTCCCTCTAATCTGTAGAGTCTTGTGAGCAAAAATTCTACTTTTTGAGCTACTGGCATTAGAGTTGTGAGCGAGCGATTTGGCTACTGCATCAATTCGTTTGCTCTGGAGCCGTCCTTCCTGAGCGAAGGCAAAAATGTGTGAGCCAGAGGCTCAAAAACTGTGAGCTAGCTCACACTCACTCAGCTTAGAGGGAACACTGGTCACAACCCCCAGACAGTTCAGGGCTCTGTGCAGGTTTTAGTCCGAAGGAAAGTGTCGGGATATCTGATTGCACCTACTCCACAAAAAGTGAAATTTGGCCCCGAAAGTGTAACTATGGATGGACTTAGAATAAAATGGAGGAACCAAATGGCGGTATATTCCTTGTCTACTGTCTGAAGCAGCTAGGATGAATAAATGGCCATCTGTTACTAAGAACCAGTTCTGAACATTGGTGCCACCCTCTCTTACGGTGTCTTTCAGGAAGAGTTAGAGGACTTCCTTCTGCCAACAGTCCAGCTCTGCCAAACTGTGCTGAATCAAATGCGTTACCCCTCCATACTCCTGCTGGTGTGTCAAGACTCCGAGCAGCACAAGCCTGACATCCACTTCTTCAACTGTGATGAAGTAGAGGTAAACTGAGAGGATCTAATCTTTGCTGGTGGGCAGGTGGGGAAAGCAGGAGCTCTCAGCAGCATTGGACCAGGCGTTAAAAATGTCAGCATGATGTGGGAGCATGCAAAACTATGTCTCCACCCGGGTGGTGATCCTGCAGTGTACACATAGCTTGGTGTGGCGGTTCAAGCATTAATCTAGACCAGTGGTGGCGAACCTATGGCACGGGTGCCAGAGGCGGCACTCAGAGCCCTCTCTGTGGGCACGCGTGCCGTCGCCCCAGCCAGGCCCAGACCATCGTTAAAGTGTCGAATTCTCTGCCAAATAATTTTAAGTAAATGAAAGCATTTGGGATTGCTTTCCTTACTTTGTTTGGATCATCTTAAGTTAATGTAGGAGTGGTTTTTTCTAAAGTAAAACCTCAGTATTCAGGTTAAATGGCCATGTTGGCACTTTGCGATAAATAAGTGGGTTTTGGGTTGCAGTTTGGGCACTCGGTCTCTAAAAGGTTCGCCATCACTGATCTAGACTCTGGAAGGCCCAGGTTCAAATTATCCACACCGCACCACGAAGCCTGATAGGTGATCTTTGGCCAATTACTCCCTTAATCTTACCTATCTTGCAGGGTTGTCATGAGGGCAAAATGGAGGGAGGGAGATACATAAGCTTTTACTCTGCCATCACCTATTTCATGGTTGCTTCCGATGTATTTGTAGCTGTGGAATTTCTGCTGCACACGTGGAAGATATTTTCCTTTGCAGTCACAGCCAGGGGCGGATGAAGGCTCACCGGTGCCCTCAGCACTGACCCATCTGGGCGCCCCCCTCCTTTCCGCACTGACCCCCAGTCCATTGTAGTTGTCGACCGAGTGCCCCCCTCTCTTTTCCACACGGACCCCCGGTCCATTTTAGTCGTCAACCTGTCTGACCAGATATACAATGCAGGTTGCAGCAATACAAAAATTTATTCATAGGATAACACAATAGACTGTACAAACTAAGCCAAGCTTGGGCGACATAAAGTTCTACAAAAGTGCAACACAACATCTATTGTAATATTTCACAGGTTAAATGTATCAAAGTTCCAATATTCATGACCTGAAAGGCATTTTTCTACATTTCATTTTTGCAAAATCACTGATAACATCCTCGAAATTAATACCTCTCAGAATGCACCTCGCCAACAAAAAATAGAAGATAACCCTAGGGTGCATCACGATCAATTTGCACTAGTTTTATCAATTTTTTTTTAACAAATCTTCATTCGTTTTTCTTTTTTCTTTTCACCCTTTCCCCAACTTTGTGGTGCCCCCTTTGGCCCTGGTGCCCTAAGCACCTGCTTCATCTGCTTCATGGTTAATCCGCCCCTGGTCAGAGCCCTGTCTTTGATGAAGGGAAGCTGAGCCCACCTACCCCTGAAATGATCAATGAGAATTTTTATTTGAAGGTACACAAATCCACCTCCCCTCAGGAGGCTGTTTTAACCTAAGGATTCGAGTAAACTGGAGGATCTGGAGGCATTCTACCTGGTGGTTTTAGGGCTCTTTTTGTAGCAGGAACTCCTCTGCATATTAGGCGACACACCCCTAATGTAGCCAATCCTCCAAGAGCTTACAGTCGCCCCTGTGAGAAGAGCTCTGCAAGCTCTTGGAGGATTGGCTACATTAGGGGTGTGTCGCTTAATATGCAGAGGAGTCCCTGCTACAAAAAGAGCCTTTAATAAACGCAGACTGCACCCTTTCCCATCTATATAATTCTCTACCTGCTGCGTGCTCAAGGGCCTTTGCCATTGGGATCATTTGTTAGGGGTAAAGATAGGTCTAATCTGCATTTGCATTTTTAAATTAGTTTCATGCTGCTCTGACTCCATCTTTCTCTATGCTTGTTTGAATGCTGTTTGGAGAAGATTCTTTTAAAGCAGTGCAGAGGTGCAATGACAGTGGAGCCGCCCCAAAGGACGATAAACATATGTGGATGTGCAAAAGTATGCTAGCACCGTTGAGGTGTGAAAACCACACCAAACGTAGACAGCTTTTTAAAAGACGGAGTCAAAAGGCTGGGACGCCGGTGGGAAAGACAAATGCAGATTCAGCCATAGTGGAGGGAGAGACTCTGCATCCATATGCTCCCTGCTTGGGTTACTAATATATGATAAAAGAGGATAGAGTGATAATATGTTGGATGGAGGGTGAAGAAAGACAGAGACAGGCATGTCATTTAAAGAGCATTCGCAGCAGCCAGTTCTGTAGCTTGTGGGTGCTCAGCTCATGTTTGGCATTGCAACTTGACTGACAAACATATCTACCACAAGTCTAAATACAGGATCCGGCCACCACTCTTGTCCTTCCCCTTGAGAGTCAGTTTTTGTGTACAGTTTTTTTTTTTATGAAGCACATGCAAGTTGATATCTTTGTCTTCCTTACAAAAAGAATTGAAGTCTAAAACAAAGTTGTTAACCCAGGGGTCCCCAAACTTTTCGAACTTGTGGGGACATTTGGAATTCTGAGAGACACTATGGTCCCGGTCACACGGAAGGTTTTGGTCCGGGAGAGGGATGGATCGGGGGCACAGCAAATGGCCGCGATCTCACCGCAATATCTGGGAAGCGGCGTGCACCCGTCCCCGATCCGTCCCTAAAGCCGGAAAACCCACTGCAAAAAAGAACCACCTACAGAGGAGGACTTACCTGGAACGCCGCATCAAGCGTGGCCGTGGGATCGCCGGCGCGCCCATCGCCCGGAGCAATCCAGGCTCCCGACCGAACTGTGCATGCACACACATGCGCAGTTCGGCTGCTGCGCTCTTCCTTCAGCGGCTTCCCCCCCCCCCCGCCAACTGATCACGCTGGGGGG